AAGCTGGTTTTTTCAGGAGGGATGCGTTGAATTTGAAAAAACTGGGGCCTTCAGATATGTGGGTGTGAAACGAGAGGCCTATGGCAATCATACGGTGGTCAAAGGAAGTACATGGAGAGAATGGGAGGATGTCAGCCACCGTTAGTAAGCCCGTCAGTTCCTCTGACACCAAGGCCAGATCTATGCGTGAATTCGATACCCCTCCCGGGCCTTTAGAGCGCACACATATGTATGCCCTTTTACTCGGGTGGAGATGACTGTAGGAGTCCAGTAATCCTAATTTTGTCATCATGTGGTCTAGAGCCAGACTGTCCTGTCCCCTCTCCCTGAGACCATCTTGTTGAGATGATGACCGCCTATCTAGATTAGGATCCAGAGTGGTGTTAAAGTCCCCCATCATGATGATGCGAACATTCCTTGGTAGTTCTTGAAGCAGGCTATTGAACAGCCGCACCCAATGGGCTGGGTCATTGGGGGCGTATACACTAACGAGGCAGATTTCCTCTGCCTCGAAGGATGCTTTTAGCCATACCCATCTGCCTTCCACCTGGTCCCAACCTGACTGTACCGGTATTAATCTAGATGCAGGGGGGAGCCATATGGCCACACCCGTCGAGGCCGCTGATTTGGCCGGGGCAGCAAAGGATGTGTGTGGCCAAATTTGTCGCACTCGGGCTTGGTGTGTGGGAGAGGTTGTGAGATGTGTTTCTTGCACTACAATGGCGTCAGGCCATTTGCCTTTCATATCCCTCGTTATAAGGTTCCAAAGTGCCGCTGTTTTCTGTTCGCTTGTCTGTGATAGGCCATTTGCGTTCACTGATCGAATGTCCAAGTCAGCCTCTCCTAGCTTTTGTGCCCACGCCGGCTGGCGGCGGACCGGTGGTGGGGGACGAGGGGGGCTGGGGCAAACCGGGTCTGGCGACACGGCGGGACCCTGGTGGTGCACATTGTCACCTTCATCCGAATAGTGTTGGAGCTCGTCGACTTGCTCTCTCCCCCGAACTCTCACCATTTCTGCATGTTGCTGTTGTTGCGCCATTGGCTGTTTGGGTTATTATGGTGGTCACTGTGTCAGCCAGTCATTGGTTGTCCCGACAATTGTTCCATTTGTGAGACCGCCTCCCAACCCATCCTCTCGTCAATTCTCCCAGTGCACTCCCTATTCTTACTATCTTACCTCAGTGTTAATCACCTCAGACTATCACCCCATTATCTCAGAGCATGACTTGGACCGAATAGCAGTTACCGGCACTAGGGCTAGGCAGACTCAACGGAACAAGTCCAGACTGGGCCAGCTTACCCAAGGCTTACGTGGATCACGGACAAGCGCGGAGCGGCTATTAACCTCTTCCCAGCCCTACCGGTAGTCGATGCACAGACGAGCGAGCCTTGTCACCCGGGAACTTCGAACACCAGGCACAAGTAGTATCCTATCAGGCCCACAATTACAACCCAAATTTCTACTGAGGCACCAGAGTTAGGCAGACTCAACGGACAAGCCCTGACAGGCCCTGCTTGCCCAGGGCTAGGTGTGACGCCCAACCTCACGCCCGACGCGACTTCCTAATCGGAGTGGAGTGTGGGCCAAGAAGTGCGAAAAGGGGTGTGCCAAAGATTTTTGGGGAAAGTGGGGGAGTCTTAAGGATATGAATGTAATTAGGCGGACGAGGGATGCGTGCGCGAGGAGCTCATGGTCCGATGGGGCCTGGGCAGTGAGGGTGGCGGTTGACGGGAAAGTTCCTCCGCGGCGGAGGCGATCCCGAAAAGTTAGGCCGCCGGGGTCTGCCACGCGGCGCGGGCCTCCGCGTATTTGGATGGGGCCTTCGGAGTTCCAGAGTTCTCTGTTCGCTGTTACGGCGGCAATTTGCACAAAACGTACTGGGCCAATAGGGGGTTATGGCCGGCCACGGAACGACGCTGAGTTGAGGGTAGGGACGAAGAAGGCGGAAAGGAGGGAAACTGGTGGTGATCTCAACAAATCCCGGATGGGTGAAGTAGTAGGTACGGTCGGGGGAAGGGAAATTAGAGCACCGCAGATCGCTAGTGGTGGCACAGTGGAATTCCCGCTGACATAATCGATTCTTCGTGTGACAGGGGTATCGTGTCCTTATGAGCTCGTTTATTATAGGGGTGAAATAGTCCGGGTCATAGGATGAGTCTGAGCCCCAAGATCGCGTCATGGTGTCATCGTAGGTGGGATGGTGCGGGTCGGGATCTCGTCACTGCGAGTCCCGTCTGGGCGGGAGAATCGCCGCACGGGAATGCGTGTAAGGGCGCGACTTGGATCGCGTTTACACGTGTTCTCGCGTGGCGTTTACGGGGTCAGATTTCGAGTCACTGATCATGCAAGATGCAACCATATCACAACCTCATCGTGTGGTAAGCAAAAACGAGACTAAAATCACGACCAGAGCCTAATTCCTATCCATCTATATCTGATGCAGACAAAAGTTCGACACAAAAAGCAAGACAGAGATTCGCAAGCAAAACATCCATACATTCAGCAATCATGTACATAGTGCCACTCAGTCAGTGAGCAAAATTCGAGTCCAGATTCCCGAGGGCCGAAACGGAAATAAGAATGGGCAAGCCGCCCTGAGCCGCAATCAAACTGTATATACACAGGGGCAGATGGGGAAGAGACAAAGAAACAGCAAGACCGCATCCATCAACCTCAACTCTCTCTCTCTCTCTCTCTCTCTCTCTCTCTCTCTCTCTCTCTCTCTCTCTCTCT